CTTACCAGGGCCTCTGTGACCTCACCGGGGCCTCCGTGACCTCACCAGGGCCTCTGTGACCTCGTTGCGGCCTCTGTGACCTCGTTGCGGCCTCCGTGACCTCATCGGGACCGCCGTGACCTCCTCAACTCAACCGTAGCTTTGACCGGCGAGCATGGGAAGCCGCTGTTAGACCAACGCACATCATCATATTCCACCCCCCCCCCCCCACCCACACCACACCGCCCCCGCAGGCCTTCATGCAGGCGAATGGAGATGCCCAGCCCATCACCATCATCGCCAACATCGCCGGCAACAGTGGCGGAGGCGGAGGCGGATGCAGAGGAGGGGAGGGAGGCGGCTCGGCAGCCATGGACCGAGCGACGAGCGGAGGCCACGGCGGGAAAGCCGGCACCAAGGCGCCGTTGGGCGAAGGGGGGCCCTCCCGCAGGGACGAGCGGGAGACCCCCCCAGGGGCTTGGGGGCCCTCGGTGTGCGGCTACAACACCCCGCCACCGTCGCTTGCACCCACGTCGCTCTCTGCCGCCGACAAGCCCCACCTGCTGCCACACTGACGCCTGCGGCTTTAGGCCGCCCCCCCCCTCCCCCCCATTCCGGGGGGGGGAAGGGGGGGCGGGTAGGCCCGAGGCTTTTGGAGGGGCTGCCTTGCCCCCCCTTCTCCCTACCCCGCCCCCCCCCCCCCTCTCCCCTCCCTGGGTAGGCCCGAGGCTTTGTGGCGACTGCCTTCCTCCCCTGCTTAGGCCCGAGGCTTTGTGGCGACTGCCTTATCCTCCTGGGTAGGCCCGAGGCTTTGTGGCGACTGCCTTATCCTCCTGGGTAGGCCCGAGGCTTTGTGGTCGCTGCCTTGCCCATCCCCCCCCCCCCTCCCCTGCCCGCCTGGGTAGGCCCCAGGCTCTGTGGCGACTGCCTTCCCCCCCTGCGTAGGCCTGAGGATTTTTTGGTAGCTCCGATTAGCACGGTTGGCTATGTACGGTGCGAAAGAAGTTGAACATACATACGTAGCTGCCTTGTCCCCCTGGGTAGGCCCGAGGCTTTGTGGCGACTGCCTTCCTTCCCTGGGTAGGCCCGAGGCTTTGTGGCGACTGCCTTGTCCCCCTGGGTAGGCCTGAGGCTTTGTGGTAGCTGCCTGGTTCCCATAGGTACAGTGAGGGAAAAAAAGTATTTGATCCCCTGCTGATTTTGTACGTTTGCCCACTGACAAAGAAATGATCAGTCTATAATTTTAATGGTAGGTTTATTTGAACAGCGAGAGACAGAATAACAAAAAAAATCCAGAAAAACGCATGTCAAAAATGTTATACATTGATTTGCATTTTAATGAGGGAAATAAGTATTTGGCCCCTCTGCAAAACATGACTTAGTACTTGGTGGCAAAACCCTTGTTGGCAATCACAGAGGTCAGACGTTTCTTGTGGTTGGCCACCAGGTTTGCACACATCTCAGGAGGGATTTTGTCCCACTCCTCTTTGCAGACCTTCTCCAAGTTATTAAGGTTTCGAGGCTGACGTTTGGCAACTCGAACCTTCAGCTCCCTCCACAGATTTTCCATGGGATTAAGGTCTGGAGACTGGCTAGGCCACTCCAGGACCTTAATGTGCTTCTTCTTGAGCCACTCCTTTGTTGCCTTGGCCGTGTGTTTTGGGTCATTGACATGCTGAAATACCCATCCACGACCCATTTTCAATGCCCTGGCTGAGGGAAGGAGGTTCTCACCCAAGATTTGACGGTACATGGCCCCGTCCATCGTCCCTTTGATGCAGTGAAGTTGTCCTGTCCCCTTAGCAGAAAAACACCCCCAAAGCATAATGTTTCCACCTCCATGTTTGACGGTGGGGATGGTGTTCTTGGGGTCATAGGCAGCATTCCTCCTCCTCCAAACACGGCGAGTTGAGTTGATGCCAAAGAGCTCCATTTTGGTCCCATCTGACCATAACACTTTCACCCAGTTGTCCTCTGAATCATTCAGATGTTCATTGGCAAACTTCAGACGGGCATGTATATGTGCTTTCTTGAGCAGGGAGACCTTGCGGGCGCTGCAGGATTTCAGTCCTTCACGGCGTAGTGTGTTACCAATTGTTTTCTTGGTGACTCTGGTCCCAGCTGCCTTGAGATCATTGACAAGATCCTCCCGTGTAGTTCTGGGCTGATTCCTCACCGTTCTCATGATCATTGCAACTCCAGGAGGTGAGATCTTGCATGGAGCCCCAGGCCGAGGGAGATTGGCAGTTCTTTTGTGTTTCTTCCATTTGCGAGTAATCGCACCAACTATTGTCACCATCTCACCATCTCACCAAGCTGCTTGGCAATGGTCTTGTAGACCATTCCAGCCTTGTGTAGGTCTACAATCTTGTCCCTGACATCCTTGGAGAGCTCTTTGGTCTTGGCCATGGTGGAGAGTTTGGCATCTGATTGATCGATTGCTTCTGTGGACAGGTGTCTTCTATACAAGTAACAAGCTGAGATTAGGAGCACTCCCTTTAAGAGTGTGCTCCTAATCTCAGCTCGTTACTTGTATAAAGGACACCTGGGGGCCAGACATCTTTCTGATTGAGAGGGGGTCAAATACTTATTTCCCTTATTAAAATGCAAATCAATTTATAACATTTTTTGACATGCGTTTTTCTGGATTTTGTTGTTATTCTGTCTCTCACTGTTCAAATAAACCTACCATTAAAATTAGAGACTGATCATTTCTTTGTCAGTGTGCAAACGTACAAAATCAGCAGGAGATCAAATACTTTTTTCCCTCACTGTAGGCCCGAGGCTTTGTGACAGCTGCCTTGTCCCCCTGGGTAGGCCTGAGGCTTTGTGGTAGCTGCCTTGTCCCCCTGGGTAGGCCTGAGGCTTTGTGGTAGCTGCCTTGTCCTCCTGGGTAGGCCTGAGGCTTTGTGGTAGCTGCCTTGTCCCCCTGGGTAGGCCTGAGGCTTTGTGGTAGCTGCCTTGTGCCCCACCCACCCCCACACTCTACTGGTCAGTACGGGATCCGTGAAGCTGCGGGGAGTACAAAGCAACGCCAGTAGATTTCACCACACTTGCCCGGTTTACCGTCAACCACACGTTACACACGGAGCTAGTTCACCGTGACCCCCACGTTACACACGAAGCTAGTTTACCGTGACCCCTACGTCATTACACACAGCGCTAGGTCACCGTGACCCCCACGTTACACACAGCGCTAGTTTACCGTGACCCCCACGTTATTACACACAGTGCTAGGTCACCGTGACCCCCACGTCATTACACACAGCGCTAGTTCACCGTGACCCCCACGTTACTCACAGCGCTAGGTCACCGTGACCCCCACGTCATTACACACAGCGCTAGTTTACCGTGACCCCCACGTTACTCACAGCGCTAGTCCACCATGACCCCCACGTCATTACACACAGCGCTAGTTCACCGTGACCCCCACGTCATTACACACAGCGCTAGGTCACCGTGACCCCCACGTCATTACACACAGCGCTAGTTTACCGTGACCCCCACGTTACACACAGCGCTAGGTCACCGTGACCCCCACGTTACACAGCGCTAGTTCACCGTGACCCCCACGTCATTACACACAGTGCTAGGTCACCGTGACCCCCACGTTACACAGCGCTAGTTGACCGTGACCCCCACGTCATTACACACAGCGCTAGGTCACCGTGACCCCCACGTCATTACACACAGCGTTAGTTTACCGTGACCCCACGTTACACACAGCGCTAGGTCACCGTGACCCCCACGTTACACACAGCGCTAGGTCACCGTGACCCCCACGTTACACACAGCGCTAGGTCACCGTGACCCCCACGTTACACACAGCGCTAGGTCACCGTGACCCCCACGTTACACACAGCGCTAGGTCACCGTGACCCCCACGTCATTACACACAGCGCTAGGTCACCGTGACCCCACGTTACACACAGAGCTAGGTCACCGTGACCCCCACGTTACACACAGCGCTAGGTCACCGTGACCCCCACGTTACACACAGAGCTAGGTCACCGTGACCCCCACGTTACACACAGAGCTAGGTCACCGTGACCCCCACGTTACACACAGCGCTAGGTCACCGTGACCCCCACGTTACTCACAGCGCTAGGTCACCGTGACCCCCACGTCATTACACACAGCGCTAGTCCACCGTGACCCCCACGTCATTGCACACAGCGCTAGTTCACCGTGACCCCCACATTACTCACAGCGCTAGTTCACCGTGACCCCCACGTTACACACAGAGCTAGGTCACCGTGACCCCCACGTCATTACACACAGCGCTAGTCCACCGTGACCCCCACGTCACACACAGCGCTAGGTCACCGTGACCCCCACGTCATTACACACAGCGCTAGGTCACTGTGACCCCCACGTTACACACGGCGCTAGTCCACCGTGACCCCCACGTCATTACACACAGAGCTAGGTCACCGTGACCCCCACGTCATTACACACAGCGCTAGGTCACCGTGACCCCCAGGTCATTACACACAGCGCTAGGTCACCGTGACCCCCACGTCGTTACACACAGAGCTAGGTCACCGTGACCCCCACGTTACTCACAGCGCTAGTCCACCGTGACCCCCACGTTACTCACAGCGCTAGTTTACCGTGACCCCCACGTCATTACACACGGACAGACAACCCTTCCCTGGGTCACCAGTTAGAGCAGCGTGGGCCTGGAGGCAGCGGGGCAGTGAAGCAAAGTTTACGATTGTTGTGTACTCCCCACCCACCCCACCCACTTATACCCACCCACCCCACCCACCTAGCCACCCACCTACCTAGCCACTTATACCCACCCACCCCACCCACCTACCCACCCCACCCACCTACCCCCCTACCCACCCCACCCACCTAGCCACTTACACCCACCCACCCACCTAGCCACCCCACCCACCTACCCCCCCTACCCACCCACCCACCTACCCCACCTACCCACCCACCCACCTAGCCACTTATACCCACCCACCCCACCCACCTACCCCCCTACCCACCCCACCCACCTAGCCACTTACACCCACCCACCCCACCCACCTACCCCCCCTACCCACCCCACCCACTTAGCCACTTACACCCACCCACCTAGCCACCCCACCCACCTACCCCCCCTACCCACCCACCCACCTACCCCCCTACCCACCCACCTACCCCCCTACCCACCCACCTACCCCCCCCTACCCACCCCACCCACCTAGCCACTTACACCCACCCACCTAGCCACCCCACCCACCTACCCCCCCTACCCACCCACCCACCTACCCCCCTACCCACCCACCTGCCCCCCTACCCACCCCACCCACCTAGCCACTTACACCCACCCACCCACCCACCTAGCCACTTATACCCACCCACCCACCTAGCCACTTACACCCGCACCCACCTAACCTACCTACCCACCCAACTACCCTCCCACCCACCTACCCCCCCTACCCACCCCACCCACTTACCCCCCCCTACCCTCCCACCCACCTACCCCCCCTACGCACCCCACCCACTTACCCCCCCCTACCCACCCACCCACCTAGCCACTTACACCCGCACCCACCTAACCTACCTACCCATCCAACTACACTCCCACCCACCTAGCCTCCCACCTACTTACCAACTTATCCCCGCACTCCCCCACCCACCTATCCACTTATCCCCACCTACCTGCCCACCCACATTCCCCTCCCACCTACTTACCTACTTATCCCCGTACCCACCCACCCCGCACCCAGCTACCCCCCGCCCACCCACCTACCCCCCCCCGCCCACCCACCTACCCCCCCCACCCACCCACCTACCCTCCCACCCACCCACCTACCCCCCCCCACCAACCCACCTACCCCGCCCCCCCCCCCCGACGCAAACCTACTCATCTTCATCAACAACCCCACACACTGACCAGCGCGGTGAAGTACGGTCAAAGAACTCCACCCACTACCCCCGCCCACCACCCCCGCCCACTACCCCCGCCCCCCCACCACCGCCCACAACCCCCGCCCCCCACCACCGCCGCCATCTGCGGAGAGGTCACTCATCCAGCAGTGGAGAACAGAACCGCCTGACCGCAACAAAACCACCACCCACTACCCACACACCCACCCACTACCCACCCACTACCCACTACCCATCCCACTACCCACCCACTACCCACTACCCACCCACTACCCACACACCCACCCACTACCCACACACCCACCCACTACCCACCCACTACCCCCACCCACACACACCCTACCCCCACCCACTACCCCCACCCACCCACACACCCACACCCCCACCCACTAC